GGCGTATGATCTGACGAACTGGACACCGGCTCCCAATGGATTGCAGTTTTCGCACATTTCCCGCTACCTTGCGAGTCAGGCTTTGTCTAGGCAAAGGCTCCGGTTGTGGATTCCTCGACGTAGTTAGCGAGATCAATCAACGCGAAAACCAGTTGGGAAAAATCAAGAAGAGTTTTGCGTGGGCCTACATTAGGGGATACTGTTGTCCGTTATTAAGACAAGTTCAAAGTTTTATTATGATTATCTGTTTACCGAACCCGCGTCGAAAAATAGTACGTGCATCTTAGACGAGTCAAACGTTGGTCCAGTGTCATAACCGCTTAAGCATTTTTCATTTGGAAGTTCTCACAAGGTGCACCGCTCCGCAACTGATTCTCTACCAACACTTAGGCAGGATCGGATTCGGAACCTATCCTCCTCCTCGGCCGGCCCGAAAATCACACGACCGATCACGTTCATTTATCGATCGGTCGAATGGTTCAGCGGCAACACGGGACCTGGTGCTAGCCCAGCTAACCCGAGCGAGAAACCACACCTTTTTTACAGCTGCGAGTCTCAGGCAGGCCCAGTGAAGTTCGACTGTGCAGCAGGAGTGCTATCAGCACTCGGATGGACTGGACGTAACAAGAGCATTACAAAACGTACAAGTCGGTAATCAGACAGTCTCGTGTTGAGCTGAGAGATTTTAAGTGTCGCAGATCGCGGAATATGATCCAATCAGATCGCATTAGGGGTAAGGGAATTTACTTGCTTAAGGTCACGGGTGAGAGGGATGAAACGACCGAAAACGATGGAGCAATCACCCTGTATATATCACACCCTAGACTCTGGATCATGCAGAACTCAATGAGGAAGGGGCTTCAATTAAACTAAACCTGCTGAGAACGAGGTTGCGATTGAAACTTATCAACCGTCGGTTGGTGACCGCGTTCACTCGACCACCATTAACTCACAATAGATGAGAAATAGAATCACTCGCTAACTCTTGGGTGAACGAAACAAACAACTGAGTTTACCGTGCAAACGGACGCGTAGATATCAGTTTTTCACCCGTTTGAAATCCCTTACTGTATGACCGAA